TAATTTCAACCAACAAACATTTCACACAATAGTCCATACTTCATACTAACCCATAGGAGCAAAATATTTAAGCATCTTTTAACTATTCTGCTCAATATAATTCACCAAAAATGACATTTTGAACATAAGTTCAATTTCTTGTCGATTTAACGAAAAGTTTTAGTATAGATTTTCGGATTCGATTTTTTAGCTCCCAAAACACTAGTTATCAATATTTATTTTCCAAAAGTTGAAGTTGCATTTCCATCTACTAAACTTATACTTTAATTTTTATTTAAGTACTAAATACAAGTTATATTTTATTTTTGTTTATAGAAATTGTTTTTCCGTGCTAAACAATTAAAACGATTTATCCCATTTTTCTCATTAGGATTTTCATCAGCACTTTTACACACCAAGTAAGTTAACTTGGATATTTATCTGAGTTCACAAAAGTGAGTCACATAGGATTTGTTTATCGGCCCTGTTCGCTTGACCTTAAAAGCATCACTATTCAGCTTGTTTTTTCAGCGGGAACAGTGTTTTTCTCTCACAACAATTCAGCCGGAACCGTGTTTTTCAGCCAAATTTAGCCCATCGAACGGGGCCATCATCTCACGCGCTTTATAAATTTTAAAAACCCGAAAACATGTTAGGCTAATTCTTCTCGGACCTAAATCTCAGTGCTAAGCAAGCTCTCGAAAAGTGAAAACGACATATATTTAGAGACGGAGGAAGTAGTTTTTGTTTTTTCGAGAGTAACCCCTAGCAAAAGAATCACATGATGACGGAAGTAGCTAGCTGAGCTCTACAGTACGTCCACACAAGTACACATGTACTAATACTACTAGTAAACACGTGAGTATCCCGTCCGTTCAAAATTACACGCCATCTGTGTCAAAAATACACGGTGTTTTGGCTACATATACACTGTTAGATACATAATAAAAAAACAATATATCTAAAAGAACTAAAATGTTTTATAACTTAGAACGAAGATAGTACATATTTTAACTACTACCGTGGCGTTTAAACTTTTCTATTAGATACAAATTTAGAACTTGTTTGTTGATTTATGATTTGTTGATTTATTTTAACATAGATTCCGATTTGCGAGAGGCAGGCTTCATTATGGTTGAGGGCGCTACCATCGAGAGTTCGAGACCAAGAGGCAAGAGACATGCAAGGGAAGGGAGGGAGAGAGGAGTGGCGCAGGCATTTGCATGCAGTGGACAGTGGTGCATGCGCGAGAGAGAGGGAAAGAGGGAGAGAGAGCTGCATGCGGCCGGCTCTTGCGCGCTGCCGCCGCCGGCCTTGTTTCCTTGCTGCATGCGCGGGCATGCCAGGAGAGACGAGAGGGAGGGCGCAGGCTTGGCAGCCGAGGCCAGGCGCCCGCGTGGGAGGCCGCGTCCTCCCGTTCTGCGAGCCAGTTTGACCCAACGGTGTGGTGCCCAATGGCGGATGGAGGAGGGCCTGTTTGGTCGGGGTAGAAAATTTTCACCTAGACAGAAGTAGACAAACTCAATCCATATATGTCACGGCCTTGGTCGGGGTAGGCCGGCTAGAGCGGCTAGGGCTGGGGCGTGGGTGGCAGGGAGCGCTAGGGCAGAGGGCGGCCTAGGGGAGGCAGGCAGCGGCTAGAGAGATGAGGAGGAGACCAAGGCTTAGAAGTGAGGGGAGGGAGATAAGGAGCCAAAACCCACACCGCTTAAGATTTAAAGGTTGCATCGCCCCTCTATTTATAGTTCTGGAAGACTTAACTCCTAAACAATATAAACTTATTCTCCAAGAAACTAAGGAAAGAGTCCTTATAGATATGGTCTGCTTCTTTTACAAGCAAGACTATTTATTTCCTAATAAATCTCGATCCAGTAAATCTCTATTTATCTTCCTACTTTATTTAGACTTTCCGTTTTATTTCGGATCTCCTTAGATATCAGAAAATCTCGAGGAGGCGGCGGCGCTGCTCCCCCAGGCCGCGCGCCCCCCTCCTGCGCGCTGGGTGCCCCCGGTGTTGGTCTAGGCCAGGTCCAGGCCTCCCGCTGGCCCACTAGACCCACTGTAGTGGGTCCCATTTGGGCATGTGACATATCCCCCGTTCTCCATACAACGCGTCCTTGCGTTGTATCCTTGCTTGGTCATTGACGCTGCTCGGGGAAGAGGGCTCCTCCGATGGTTGCTGCCTTGGTATTGAAGATGAGGCGTCCTAGCTTGTTCTCTTTGTGGTTGCTGGCGAATTCGGAGTAGGGCTAGAGGTTGTTGATGCAGCCAAAGATGAGGTGGTGCTGTTCGATGGTCGTTGTTGTCCCAAGTACGTCTGTAGCGGTGTTGATGATTGGATGGCAGCCTCCGGGGTTATGTTGTGTGTTGATGTAGCCGTTTACCGCGAAGAGGAGTTTGTAGTTGGTGTAGTCCAGGAGAATTGCCATTGTCACTGTAGTGCGCCCTGTGCCATGAAGATGCCCTTGGGAAGGCAATAACTTACTATGGATGTTGCTGGAGTTTGGATGCCTTCTATGTGGAAGTGGAGGTTTGTCGTTTGCCCTCCAACGATGATAGTGTGTAGCTAGTCCGGCAATTGTGGTGATGCTGCCAGAAGGTAGATGCACCCGTCGTAGTTGACGATGATCTCTTAGTTAAGTGACCAGGCTGGTGTTGCGGTGTCGCTCATGATGGTGGAGGTGACTATCCGCCCTAGTAAAGGAGCTTGATGCTGATGGGGTGGTGCCATGATGATGAGGGTCTAGGTTCGACTCATGTCCTTTCCTCTTCCTGTCAGTGTGTCCTTGCGCTATACCATTGCATGTGTGGAGGTGACGTCGGGTGGTAGGCAAGTTTGCATTAGTATTCCCTCCAACTTGATGGCGAGTAGTTCAGGCGTGTTGTCGACTGCTTGGTAGATGTAGCTAAGGATGGTAGTGGTGTTGTCAATAAAGTCCAACCCATTCGGTTGGTGCGTCCGTGCAACTCGGCTCATGTTGTTGTGAAGCAGCAGTGTTGAAGATGGTGGTGTAGTTGACTTCTTTTTGTTGGGCTACTACTGCTGTTGATGATGATGTGGTGATGGAGAGCTTGTTGCGCGTTGCTTGACCACTAGTAATTTTGCTGAAGGTGATATTGTGCTTTTCCCTTTGGAATCTCATCTCTAGATTTGTAAAGTCCCAGATGATGGTGCTCAAGTTAGTCAACCAAAGTGTTTCGATGATTACATCGATGTCAGCGTTGATGTTGATGAGCCAAGCGCCTATCTGGAGCGTTTCTGAGTTGATGTGTAATAGTATGCTGGGGCGTGCTTCCTGACAGGTGATCTCCTTGCTGCTGAATTGGATCTATTGTTGATGGGGAGCTCTCCAGCTCATCAAAAAAATTGTGGGGCTTGCTCCTCCAACCATCGGTGGCTTTGTTGATGTCGTTCTCAGCGTCCTCCTTGGATTGTGTATATTCTATCTTATCCAAGCAGGCGTTGGCCTTGATGAAGAACTCTTTCGCCTCGTCCCATTGTTTGTTGCAGGTGACGGTGAGGATCTCAATCTCCTTCTTCATCTCGTTGATCATGGTGGTGGCCATCAGATCGATCTGGTCTCCGGATACCAGGTGTCATAGCCTTGGTCGGGGTAGGCCGATTGGAGCAGCTAGGGCTAGGGCATGGGCAGCGCAGGCATCGCTGGAGGCGGTGGCGTGGCGGTAGGGGGCGGCATTGGGGAGGCAGGCACAAGGCAGGGAGGCGGCGGCTAGAGAGATGAGGAGACCGAGGCTTAGAAGAGAGGAGAGGGAGATAAGGAGCCGAAGCCCACTTCTTGCTTAAGATTGAAATGTTACATAGCCCTTCTATTTATAGTCCTGGAAGACTTAGCAGCCCCTAAGCAATTTAAACTTATCCTCCAAGAAACTAAATGAAGAGTCCTTATAGATTTGAACTGCTTCTTTTACAAGCAATACTATTTATTTCCTAATAAATCTCGATCTAGTAAATCTTTATTTATCTTCCTACTTTATTCCAACTTTCCTTTTTATTCCGGATAACCTCAGAATTCGGGAGATCTCAAGGCGGCGGTGGCGCTGCTCCCACAGGCCGCGCACGCCCCTCCTGCGTGATGGGCGCCCCCGACGTTGGTTTGGGCCAGGTCTAGGCCTCCCGCCGGCCCGCTGGACCCGCCGTGGGCCCCATTTGGGCGCGTGACAATATATTTCCTGAGCAAGAGCTTTATTGCTAGAGAATTGGCCATGTTTGATTTTAAAGAAGTCAGGTGTTGCAAAGTACACACAGTTGACTTAAAATTGAGATATTTTTTTTTGGGAAGAGTGAATATGGTATTAAAATTAAGATTGCAGCCACACGGCCATGGCCAATTGGCCATGCAGATCAATGGTGACCTAACAAATCGAATTGACTAACACTCATATTGTTCCGTGTGGATATATAGTGGGTACGGTACTTTTGAATTAAAAATTTGAGATTGAGATAGACAGGATCATATATTATTATATTCAAAAAAACGCAGCAGGCACGGTCACGCTCACGAGGCCACGATGGATGGCGACCCAACGGGTGGACCAGTTTTTTTTCATCTTCTTTTTCGTGTTATAATGTGGACGATTTATAGTGGGTATAGCGATTGGAGTTGAAATTGGGAGCTAGCACAGACAGTTCATGGGCATGGTCCTACTAACCAACCGGTTGTGTGGTATGTGTGTGTCCAAGTGCCGTGCCGTGCCTGCATATCCAGTACAAGTGTGGAATTGGCTGAGTTCGAAGCTGTAGCCGCTGCAGTATCTGGACTCTGGAATGCAAATTTCCGGGTACCTGATGAAAGTTTTATGTTATCATTAGTACCTTAGTTCATTTGTATACACATTATTTTTGCTCCATTGAATCGGCATGATTAGTTCAATTGATGTGCTATATATTTAGGAGTAATATATACAAGTAGGTGGAACACTTCCATTTCTATCAAGCACCAGCTGCATCAGCCAGAGATTGAGAGATGATTATGATTTCCATGGGCTACAGCAAGCTGGCCATGGTGGAGGTGCGTCCTGTGGTGTGCCTCGTGATGGTACTATCCATGGACGTCCTCGGCGCCGCTGCCGGCGTCTTCAAGCCGCCGCCGGCGATGTACGTGTTGGGCGACTCGACGCTGGATGTCGGCAACAACAACTACCTGCCGGGGGCGAACGTCCCCAGGGCCAACAGGCGCTACTACGGCGTCGATTTCCCCGGCGGCGTTCCCACCGGAAGGTTTAGCAACGGCTACAACACTGCCGATTTCATTGGTAGGTCGATCGTAGGTCTACTGCTATATATATACTACTCTTTGTTTCCATTTTCATAGCAGTATTATTTTTTATTTTAATATATATGGACATGCATGTGTTTGTGTAATGTGTATAGAACAGAATAGTTAGTTTTGATTGGTCGATCTTTTCTCCTTCATATAGAGTATAGGTTATAGTACCTAAGTACGTTGCATTGCAGCAAAGTGCATAGGGTTCGTGAGCAGCCCTCCGCCGTACCTGTCGCTGGTGGCGCCAGCAAGCTCCGGCGGCCTTCTGGTCCCGACCGCTCTCACCATTGGCGTCAGCTATGCTTCCGGAGGAGCTGGCATCCTCGACTCCACGGTAAGTACTGTACGTGTGCTCCGTCCGACGTGCGTACTAGCATCCATAGGAAACTTTAACAAACAAGCATACATGAACGCATGCAGAACGCCGGCAGCACCATCCCGCTGTCGAAGCAGGTGCAGTACTTCAACGCCACGAGGTCGAAGATGATCGTCGCCGCGGCGGCGGGATCCTCCGACGCGGTGGACACCCTGATCAACAGGTCCTTCTTCCTCCTCCTCTTCGGCGGCAACGACGTGTTCGCGTTCGCGAACGCGGAGCAGGCGTGCAACAGGTCCGGCGCCGCCGACCTGCAGAGCGACGCCGCCGCCTTCTACGGCAGCCTCGTCTCCAACTACTCGGCCGCCATCAGGGGCCTGTACGCGCTGGGCGCGCGGAGGCTCGCCATCGTCAACGTGGGGCTCGCCGGATGCCTGCCGGTAGCGCGGGTGCTGGACGCCACGGGCGCGTGCGCGGAGGACCGGAACCGGCTCGCCGCTGGCTTCAACGCCGCGCTGCGGTCCCTGCTCGACGACCTCGCCTCCTCTTCCTCCGGTCTGCCCGGCCTCGCCTACTCCCTGGCCGACTCGCTGGGCCTCATGGCGGACACCTTCGCTGACCCACTGGCGTCGGGGTTCACGGACGTCGCCGACGCGTGCTGCGGCGGCGGCCGGCTCGGCGCGGAGGCGGCCTGCACGTCCAACGCCACGCTCTGTGCAGACCGCGGGCAGTACTACTTCTGGGACAACATCCACCCTACCGAGCGGGCCGCGGCGCTCAGAGCCCAGGCATTCTATAACGGCCCGGCCCAGTACACTACGCCCATCAACTTCAAGCAGTTGGTCCACATGAGCTGATCGATGTTGGCCCATTTGCTTATTCATTCAGGGACCCAGTGACATAATTTTCCCAAGATGATTACATCAAAAGCGAACCATGGTACATCCCATGTTACATGAATAATTGACCTGAAATTCGCAAAAAAAAAATGACCTGAAAAATAAATAAACAACATTGAATAAGCTTTCATGTTAGCTCTTCCTGCTCCATTCTAGTCTGTGGTAACAATCCTTATACTAGAATCATTGAGAGTTAGTTTTGTGAATTAATTGGAAAATGAGATAGCAGCCACATGCATGATGCACCACACATACATGGCATATGCATGCATGTGAATTAATTGGAGAATGAGATAGCAGCCACGCTAACGACCCACTGGTTCGTTAAGCATGCTTCCAAGAAATGCATTCAATCTGAGATATCGATGGTTAGCTAGATGATGAGAGCTTTGGATTTTCCAGATTCCTATAGTAGTGTGTATAGTGCACCCTAGCGGATATTCAACTGTTAGGTATGGCGCAATTAATACCCACGAGACCTCCATATTATCATAAAAATTATTAAATATATACAAAATAAAGTACACACGAGACGAGACCCTCTGGACTTGGTCGATCCGCCCAGTTGATCGAGGTACCGTGTGTATATTGAGTAACCACCTACATAAGTTATTCTATAGCCATACCTATTTACGGTAATTTTATATACTAATTTACGATAGTATCAATATATATTTACAATAATTGGGTTACTAGGCCGTTCGGCTGGCTGGCTCTGTCACTCACGAAATCACTGTTCATGTCCTGTCAGAACAGTATTTTTCTCTCACAATAATCAGCCGGAACAGTATTTTTCAGTCCTGCTGAATAGACCCTATAACACATAGGGATATTTACCATAACGTTATACTAAACCACTTAGTAAAGGGTTACTATGATATCGTAAATTAACATAATAATTATCATAATTTAAAGTGGCTACACAATAAGTTATTTTTGTAGCCAGCTACAGGGACATGGTAGTGTGTGTGTGTGTATATATATATATATATATATATATATATATACAGCAGCAAGGGCGATACGTACCGAGCACAAGCTGAAGCAGCTCAACGTACGCATTCGATCGATCATGGGCTGCTGCTCGATGGCCATGGAGGGTCGTCGTCTCGTTCTGTGCCTTGTGATGATATCCGCGCAAATGCTAGTCATTGCCATGGCCGGCGCCGCCCAGTGGCGGCCGTCGGCGATGTTCGTGTTCGGCAACTCGACGTTGGACGTCGGCAATAACTATATACCTGCCGGGGGCGGACGTCCCCAGGGCCAACAGGCCCTACTACGGCGTCGACTTCCCCGGATTCCCCACCGGAAGGTTCAGCAATGGCGGCAACACCGCTGACTTCGTCGGTACGTACGTACTATTACTGCATGCTATACCACTTTTACCTGCGTACTGCTTCGGCTTATAGCGTTGTACGACGTACGTATATATATATATATATATATATATATATATATATATATATATATATATATATATATATATATATATATATATATATAGCCTCCGCCGTACCTGTCGCTTTCACCCAACTCCAGCCTTCTGCTCGTGCCAACGGCTCTCACCACTGGTGTGAGCTACGCTCATCCTCGACCTCCACCGTAAGTACATGTGTCATCTTTTGGCCCTGGATGGAGATATAACATATAACTATGCGCATGTCAATAGTGTTATATATATATATATATATATATATATATATATATATATATATATATATATATATATATATATATATATACACACACACGCGAAGACGACGATGATGATGTGGCGATGCATGTATGCATGCGCAGAACGCAGGCAAGTGCACCCCGTTGTCCATGCAGGTGTCAGATAGTCTGCTGCATCCCTAGTATGAATGCGTAGCAGGGAAAGACGGTGTCGAAAAGGATACTCTGTTATTGTACTGTAGCAACTGCAGGGACAGGCGTCGAACGACTCACCTGCCGCACTGTAGTCACAGCAGGGGCATACGTCAAAATTAGCCATGCTGTCACATCTAGTCACTATAGCAGCATGACAGCCTGACATGTCTGTACTAGTGTTAGATGAATAGAGTTGTATATATAGTTTGCCACTACAACTCAGTAAAGAGAGCGAGTTCAGTTTACCATCTTCTCTGTAGAGCTCCTGCCAACGCTGGTGCTTGTACTGTGTGTGTGCTCTATTCTCCCTCCCTTCTTCTACCTCTAGCCATAGTGGGGGGCAACGACAGTTCGTGGTCGGCATCGCTAGTGTGTGTTCGACAACACTAGAGAGTGGTCGGATATTTTCGTACCGGAGATCGATGGGTTAACAAGTGGTATCAGAGCCGTACAAACGCCGTCGCCGGACTAACCACTGCCGATGATGGGCGGTTCGGACATGGGCGACAACAGCGGAGCTGCTGTGGCTGCCCAGCCACGACAGGAGGTCGTTGTACGCACGGTGCGGGAGGTCAGCGACACCAGTTGGCCGATGATGACTCGCAGCAACTATGGAGAGTGGTCGGTGACCATAAATTTCAAGCTCCGAGCCTGACGGCTCTGAAATGTTGTTGACAAGGGCACCAAAAATGAAGAAGATGACATGTCAGCGTTGGAGGCTATCCTCGCCACTGTACCGGCGAAGTATAGGGAGCCGTTGGGGCCGAAAAGCTCTGCTAAGGAGACATGGCAGGTTATTACGGCGATGCGCGTCAGTTCCGACCGCGCAAAGAAGACGATGGCCCAGCTTCTGAAGCAGGAGTATGCCAACCTCAAGTTCAAGGATGGTGAATTGGTGGAGGATTTCTTCCTCCGCATGCAGACGCTCATCAACAAGCTGAAGAGCTACGGCATCACCATCGACGAAGAGGAGGCGGTGTCCAAGTAGCTACACTTCATGCCGGCAAACTACATCCAGATCGCTCTCTCCGTAGAGACAATGCTAGACTTGTCCACCCTCACCATTAAGGATATGACAGGCCGTCTGCGTGCGGTGGATGAGCGCCTGGAGCAGGCGATAGCAACGAAGGACAACGGTAAACTGCTGCTAACAGAGGAGGAGTGGGCTACTCGGAGGAACTCCGGGGTAGCCTCCTCCAGCCGCGGTGGCGATGGCAAGCGCCGCGGCAAGGCTTCTTTGGAGAAGAAGCGGGTCGACCCCAATGCCTGCCGGCGCTTTGGGAAGACGGGCCATTGGGCACGGGAGTGTCCAAATCATAAGCAGGAGAAGAAGGCTGAGGCTCATCTAGCGCAAGCTGACGATGATGATGAGGCCACTATCCTGATGGCGACGTTCTGTGCATGACATGACGTCGAGGATGAGGAGAAGGGAGAGGTGATGGCGGGTGAAGGACCTAGGAAGGCCCTGAAGGCTGTTAACCTTGACGAACCACGCGCCCAAGTCCACCTCGGACGTGTGGGCGGCGAGCAGGAGCAGCGGTGGTATCTGGACTCTGGTGCCAGCAACCACATGACGGGCTCCAAGGCAGCCTTCTCTGAGCTCGACGACGATGTGACCGGTATGGTGAAGTTTGGTGACGACTCGAGGGTGGCAATCCGAGGGCGCGGCACCATCATCTTCAGGTGCTAGAACGGCGAGCACCGCACACTAATGGATGTATATTACATCCTGCAGCTGCGTTCCAGCATCATCAGCTTTGGCCAGCTGGATGAGTGCGGTAGCGAGGTACTGATCAAGGACGGAGTCCTCAGGATCAGGGACCAGGAATAGCGACTTCTTGCCATGGTAAAGAGGTCCCTGAAATGGTTGCACCTGCTCAACTTGAAGGTGGAGCAACCGGTATGCCTGGCGGCAAGGCACACCGAGGAGCTGTGGTTGTGGCATGCCCGGTTCGGCCATCTCAGCTTCGATGCTCTTGGTCGGATGGAAAAGATGGTCCAAGGGTTGCCTCACATCGAGCACGGAGGCGAGCTGTGTAACAGCTGCCTGGTCAGGAAGCAGAGTGTGGCAGAACCGGCTGAAATAACGCACTTACGGAGGCGCTTGTCTTCCACTAACACTAAGCGCCCCGAGAGCGAGCTACGTCGGGTGGATTCCATCGAGCGCACCCCGAGGGAGAGCCCGAATAATCCATATTTTTCCCCAATGATTCAATAATGAGAACGAGTTACAAACTTAGTCCATTTCAT